AGCATTGCTAAGGACATAAAAAAATACTTGCTATTTAGAAGTTTGTGATTACATTAACTTATACCTCTATCAGTTTTGGCATCTCAGTCTTTAATTGATAGTTTCATTTACAATTAAGAACAATTTAATCCATTTAAAATTACAGATGCACATTGAGTTTTAGATTTCCGAACGGATTTTCTTATACCTTTCTTAAAGACGCTTTAAGCTATGAGGATGTCAAGAACATCCTGTTAAATTTTTGCAGAGTGCAGCTAAAACAAAGCAAGCAGAATGGCATAGAACAAGTTAAGTTGTTTGTCTGTGGAATCCTGTCTTCAGACGAATACGTACTCGCACTCGCACATACGTACATATTAATGTGTGTGTGTGTTTTTGTGTGCATATTGAGTCACTAATCTTAATTACTTGTGCAGCATGCAACAAGAGCACTTAGCGCTGATATCCTGGCAGACTCGTGTTGTTTCAGACATATGCACATACGTGATTATAGTTTCCGATGGCCTTTAGTGCTGCCTGCCCTTCAAGATACCTTACTATATAACCCCCCCTTCTAGTTTTTCCTCTTTTTTCCCCATATCTATCTTATTGAAATAAATTCTCAATGAACGCGCCCATTCGATGGGCCTTTCATTTTCATTTTCATGCGTGCCATTTGCAGCAGCTGGCGTTTTGGTCCTTGCAGCTTGTTGCTGATGAGATGCTGATGCTGATGTTGTTGCCACTGCTGTTGCTGTTGCTATTGCTATTGCTATTGCTATTGTTGCTATTTCTGAAACGCTTGCAAATCTGTGGCAGATGCTGCGCCGCACATATATCCGCAGCATATACATTCCCGTGTAGTATATCATATTTGGTTTGCGCATTAGCCCGGCCAGCAAGGCTAAGCGACACATGGAGCTCATCCACGTAGATGGATACACTCCGTGCCAAACAAGCGCAATTGGCGGTATGTGAATAGGGAATACAATTTCATGAGCTTTGATTTGATTAAATTTAATTAGCAGCATTTATTATATAGTTTATCACGTTTTTAAGGCCATTTTGAATAATTTGTAGAAATAAAACATATGGCATTGATCGCTCAAAATAGCAATTAAGATATTTTCCAGTCTTGATAAAGTCATAACTGATAATATGAAAAACCGAACCACATTAGAAGAAATCAAATACATTTTAATAATAAATAAACAAAAATATGTAATCATTTCACAAGAAACATAATCTTTAAAAAAGGAAATGTATAAACCCTTATAAGGATTTAAATTTGTTTAATAATGTAATGGTGAAATAAGATTATTAAGAATTGTAAATGGTTTGAATATTTTATAAGGATCTTAAATCTTGTTATATTATTCGATTGGTAGGCTTTCTCAGATACTTATTTTAAATATTATTATAATTTATGACTATTACGCTCGTCACAACCTGTTAACTAATTTATTCCGTCTTATAGATAGTTTTGATTAAAAAAAAAGATAAGTAAATGGTTAATATATTTTATTAGCATCTTAAATCTTCTAGTTGAAATGGGAAGCTTATTAAATTTTGTGTTTAGTATGTTTCTCAGATACTTGTTTAATATGTATGATTTAATGACTATTATGGCCGTCTAACCTTTTAAATATTTTATTCCGTGCTGTGGATAGAGTCATTATTTTGACCCTGGCTGTGCATATATGTGCGAGCGCGCTTGTTTGCCAAGTAGATGTTTAGGGGGTGGCTGATGGGCGAAACGGCTGCCCCAGCCCCAGCACCATCCTTTATGTTATCCACCATGTCCTTGTGCTTCAACTCGACAAATATTCAACACGTATTCATTTCCTGCGGACGCTCAGTTGCCAACTGGCAACATTCAGTGTTGCAGGAGGTGTTTGTATGGGGAAAGGGGAAAATGTGTAAAATGGGGAGAAGGCGGAAAAGGGGGGTGGCGATGACGAAGGAGATGCTGCACAAGTGCAGCCAGGACATGGATACTTGCACTTGATGCCGTAGCTACATAGCTTTGGCTTTGGCTTTAGCTTCAGCTGTAGCTGCTGATGAAGTAGCGACAATGCGGCAATGCGTCGCAAACTCACTTTGAGTGCTACTTGGCAGCAAGACAACGACGCCCAGACTTCAGGAGAAAGGCGAAAGCCAAAGAGAGATGCTGATGCTGATGCAGATGCACATAGAGATGGAGGTGCAAAAGGATGTGCAAAGATTGGTCCTTGGGGGCGGGAAGAAGATGCCAGCGGCGACAGCGTGACACGCAACAGGAGGGCGGAGGACCAAGGACGAAGGACAGTGGAATTTGCCTGGCCAGGATAAAGGAAACTCTTCTTCAATTGGCGACAGATGCGCCAAGGAATCTTTCCGTTTTGGATGAAAAGAAAAGCTGCGCTATCACTGAGAGATAGAGAGTGTTGGAACCGACGCGCTAAAAGAACGATGAATAATCCAGAATGCAGATCAAACTCCATGTTGTTAATACTGCACTAGCATATATATAATTAATAGCAACATTAACTTTTGAGTTTAAACGTTTTAAACGTTTACCTAATACATTACAAAAGTTCGGGGAAAAGGATATAATCATTAAGCCATTAAACATAGTATCAAATTAGTTAAAATTAGTCGGTAATTGGTTCCAGTGAGAGATAAGTTTTGAATCCCATGCGTTAACAGAACGATGAAAATACAGAATGCAGATAAAAGTCAATGTTACTTATTAAGAAATACTATTGATTATATTGAGCTTAAAGTTGGTTTTAATTAACCATGTCAAATTTGTTTTAAATATGTTTAAATACTAAAATGAAAAGGAGTATTTTATATCGATTAACTTAAATCATAATTTTTCATTTAATTCAATATTTTTGAACACAAAATTTCTTATATTTAAAAACGACTAAATTAAATCATAATTAGTTCCAAATTAGTTTTTGATCCTCCGTAAATTTTAATGCAATCCTTTTTGTCATTTTACCTATAGATTTTATTTAAAAATCATCAAGTATAGTGTCAGTTTTATGCTTTTGATTTTAGATGACTTACTAATTTTCAGTTATGTTCTAATATATTCTAATATTCTTTAATTAAATCTTTAGAAAAATTTTTAAAAATATGCGGTTTACATCTATCAATTACTTGTTTCAAAGACCTATTGTCTCTTTCCTCATTGAAGTACTTTTTTCTTTTCTTAGAAGTCTGCGTTGGTGTTTCAAGGCTTCTTTATCTATTTCTTAAGTTCCTCTGCATAACCCTATGTTCTACCCCTTTTTAGGCGGAAGTTCCCCGTGAAGTCTTGATAAATTTCCCTCACGAAGCGACCTCATCGCCAGGCAAAGCGAAGATGTTGATCCTTTGACGATTGCAAAACACTTCCAGCGTACATGCATTCAGTTCCCAGTTGTCGGAGTTGCCTCATACTAAAACGTAGCCCACCTCTTAACCCCAACCGTTTTTGGCCCAGCATTATTTCACCCCCCTGGGGGTATCTCGTCAAGTGACCCTCTCGATGGCTGTGGCTGCTACTCGGGCTCGGGTTCCTCCCAGGATATCTGCAGGACTTCTCCAGGAGGAAGCCGTGAACGCTTAACGCCCGCTCATTCCCTGTGAGAGAGTCACACGTAGCCACGAAATCATTTTTCACCACTTAGTCACGTCGCTTTGACAGCACATCCCAGGGAGGATGGGGTATTCTGGATCCAGCATCCAGGATCCGGTGAGATGGGGATGTGTGTGTTGGGGTTAGTCTGGTTTGCGGGCTAGGGATATATATGGTCTCGGTCGCAGCCTCAGCATCCGCTCTTATCTGCGGTTTAGTTGCTTATAATTGGCAGACATGTGAAAAGTGGAGTGAAAAGCGAAGCAGAGCTTTCCCAGAGAGTCCTTTTCGTTGCGAGCCTCTCCCCCAAAAAACCGGATGCCGACTGTTAATAGTTACACTCGCAGGATATCTATATGTCAGTAATTAGCCAACCGTAAGTCGGTACTACACTACTTTCCCACGGAGGCGAACATTGCGTGATGTTGTCATTATTAGTATGTAGTTGAACTCCTACGTAACTTGCTTGGCAATTACATTTTGAATTGCTGTCGATCGTTAGTTAGTTTCAGGAGGTGAGGTGAACTTTCCCGCCACTTTTTGGGTGGTGGGTTGGCCAACAGATGGCATCAATCAAGTGGAAACCACTAAGTATAATGCAGCATTGTTGCCCAAAAAGTTGCCAGTGCAGTTGGGAAATCTTGTTGCCCACTCAGCACCCCTCTTGTACGTACCCTCTTATATAGTATACTGCACGTTGGCAAAATGTGAGAGGGGAAAAATTCTGATAGTGCTTAGACGGTACAGCTATGCCTTAAAATAGAAAATGCCTAAAACACATCCATCTTCAAAACTTGAGTATCATCAGAATCTGTTTATGGTTATCAGAAATAGTATCATAAATATGCCTTTTATAGTAAACGTATTTTTAAATAATATTGATTCAAGAACGTAAGTGTAACTCAATGTATCACAAATGTTATTATACTGTACTATAAAACGCTTAGCAATATTAAGTTCTTTCTATGGGTAACTATTTCTCTCTCTAAACTTATCCAAAATTTAGCTTTGATAGATATCTCCAGAAAAACGTATTTAAGTATTCTCTTTAAATGAAATTGATGAACGACGGGTAACTAACATATCTTACAAAGTATTTAAACTTTAACCTAGAAGGTGTTTTTCGGTTGGTTTCTGGCAGTGTAAAATTAGTCTCCCAAGTGCTTGTAGTACGTGTTGTCCTGCTATTTGGTTACCTTGTATGGTTGCACTTCCTTCGCTCTGCTTGTGGCACGAATCAAAGTATTGAATTTCTATATCCGTTTTTTTTTTTTTGTATTTTTTTCTCCTTTCGCTTCATTTTTGTGTATTGTTTGGGTGAAAGGGGCGTGTTGCTGCTGCTGCTGTCGATGTTGCTGTTGTCGCTGTTGCTGATGTTGCTGCTTACATAAAGGACAACAGCTCAGCAGGACTAAATGAGTGCACAGGAAGTTTTTACATTGCTCACCTTGAGCAGGGGGTTTGGGTTGATGGGTTTTTACGTGTGGGAATGGAACGGAACTGTAACTGTAACTGGGTGCGGGGCAATTAGGTCCTCTGTATATGCCCCCTGAGTATCTGAGGCAAAACGGAAACTGTCGCAAGTGATCGGCGTGTTGATAAGTCCAACAGCAACAACAGCAACAAGAGCAACAACAATCAGCGGGAGCAACAACAGCAACGACAACAATCACCATCAGCACCAAGTTGAATTCAAAATGTGTTTCGCATTTTGGCATTTTCGCAATTGCCAAGGCAAAAGTTTCGAATGCGTTTTGTGTGGTGGCACCCACAAAAATCCATTTTTCGCATTTGTATACCCTGACAGAGGTTAATTGCTCGAGTTCGTCATTTTAAAGGTCTGCGATTTTTTTTCTACCCCAAATTACATTGAAAACTTTTTCGTATGCTTCGAGGTCTGCTCTCTATTGTGCGTCCTTTATTTGTCACTAGCTCTTTGTTTTTTTTCCCAGATGCTAAACTAAAGGGCATGCTTAAAATGGCATTGAAACAAAAAGTTATCAGGGAGTTGCTAATAGGAACTTCCCACTGACTAAAACTTTTTACTTTAATTTACTCAGTCAATAAACTTTATCTTAATTAAATCTAGAAAAATATCACAATTTACCAAGAAAGTCATTTTCATATTTAGTCAGGTGTTGTGAAAATACTGCCAGAACGTGTTAAAAATATATAGTCTGGTTTCAATAATTAGGTTTGTAAAAGAAATTAAAATTACTCATATGCATGAGTACATTTTGTATTTCTTTCTTGTAAAGTTTTTTTTATTTCTTTTGAAAGGCTTAAAACAACATTTTTTGAATACCATTAATATTTTTCCTCACTTCTGTAATAATTATGTTTGTAAAGGGATTTAAAATAGCATTTACTTAAATATGGATGGTTAAGTAAATATTTCATTGGTTTCTTGTACAATTTTTATGAAATACTAAACACAATTACTTAAAATAATTGTTCTGAACATTTTTTTAAACCATTTACGTTTTTCTTCACTTTCTGAAAAGTTTGCATTTTTAGCTGTCAAAACAGTTTGTAAACAAGGGTATTCAAACTATTGTTTATCGAAAGTTTTTTTTTTTACATTTTAAAGGTATTTTTTGGTGCAAGTTCGGATTCTGGCTTTCTGTATAGCTGTAGCTACTCGAAAACAAAGTGCTATAAAAGTCACGCCCGAGGCGAAATGAGTTTTCAGTTGTTGCTGGGGAAGGGAATTGGGAAGGGAAAGGAGGAGGGAGTTGGGGGAAAGGAAAGCGGCTTTTCCAGCGTGTTTTTTCCGTGTTTCAGCATCAGGTAAGCTAACCTTTTGTGCCGCCCATTAGAAACATGCACGCAGTCGGCTTACTTAAGCATACAAATTGTGTACCAGAGCCAAATGCAAATGCGCCAGACTCCCGGCAATGTGGAAATGGGAAATGGTAAATGTGGAATTGTAGAAATGTGGAAATGCGGAAACGTGCGGGGATTTGAGGCGGCTCTCTTGGCTGGAAAAAGTTTGCCATGCGTGCCGCCATTTGACTCGCAAGATTGACACGCTGCCAAAGGAACGAAAACTGTGCAGATGTGTCCAATTTAGTGGAACACTGGACCAACGCCCCCGGCCAGATGCTCTGGCGCTCCTTATGATTATTATGTATACAGCATACAACCCCCAAAAAACAGCAAGAAAAGGCAAAAGGACCGAGAAGCCGAGAAGAAAACCCAAACGCAAACCCAAACCCAAGAAGAGCCTTCGGGCAGCTCGACAAGTGGCGGAAATTAATGCAGTAATTGTGGTAAGTGCTTGTCCTGCTGGCTGCTGATTCATAATCGCATGTATTCAATTAAGGAGATTAATTATTTTTGGGGGATTTAAATCTGCAGGGCTTAGGCAAAGAGTTTCATACTACTTTTTTGCCAAGGGGGTTAACTCCCCAGCGGTCAGCGAAAGGTCACGTGGCCACCATAAATATGCCGGCTATCGATTGTACCTGACCACGCCACAGAACTATCCATCTTCCATAAGATGTCAGCGGCAGGAGCTTATGCAAAGTTCTCCTTCTTCCCTTTTTTGGGGGAGAAAAATCTGGGAATTTCGACCATGACAATAATCAGCTGCAGGGGGGTGTCAAAAGTAACTCCCCCTTTTCGGGGTGGTTTCAGTTTCGGCTTCAGATTGGTTTGGTTTGGGTTGGCCAAATAAATTAGGCAACAAAAAATTGACATTCCAAGGAGGCCAGGACATCGCCACTGATTAGAACAATATGCGTGAGTATGTAAAAGGCAATCTATAGACCCATACATACATTTACTTATATATAGATATCTGTATAGGCGTATATTTATATAACGCATATCTAGAGCTGACCGAAAAAAAAGATGTGTTCAAAATAAATATGCGTGCGTGTTGCTTCCTCACACCCAAAATACAGTAGTCGAAATGAGTATAGATTTGTTTGTTTGTATGTCGTTAGCATTGTTTTTTCCCTCAGTGCGTGCGTGAGTGTGCCTCCATCTGCATTTGTATGTGTCCTCTGGCTGTGAGTGTGTGTATTTTTGCCTTTCGTTGACACTTTCACAATTTATGGCAAATGCTGTCTTTCCCCTGCCACAGGAAAAAGACGCCAGCGAGCAGCAGAAGCAGCCCAACCAACCCCCTGAAAGTTACTTTCGCCACCCACCAAAAACAAAAAAGACATTCCCAAAAAAAAGGAAGCCCATTCAGTAGTATCGGGAGGTACGAACCCGGGGTACCTAAAATAATATCTAAGAAAAAGGCTTTTTAAAGATATTAATTAGAATATTAGTATGACTTTGTTTAGTTAAACTTTACAAATAAAATCAATATTAAAAACTTTGAGTGATATTCCTAAATAAATAGATTTGATTGAATTAATTCAATAATCCGAAAGATCTAAATATCTATTCTTTTAAGGTTCATAATAAAATTATGGTGTGAAATACAAAATTAGTTTCTTAATAACAAAATTAAAATAATAATTTCTTGGAAAAAATCCTTGAAAAAGAGTAACTGAAAATTAGTATAGCTTAATTAAATATTCTTTTAAGGTTCATAATAAAATGATGGTGTGAAATACAAAATTAGTTTCTTAACAAAATTAGAATAATAATTTCTTGGAAAAATTTCTTAAAATAGAATAACTGAAAATTGATATAGCTTAATTAAATAAATAAAAAAGTGATTAATAGTTAAAAAAAAACATCATTTTAGGCCCCAAAAATTTTTTTTTAAACAATCTTGAATTTTAGAAAATTTGTTAATAAATAGAAAAGGTACTTACTCTATATATAGATTCCCAATCAATTTGGTTATACCTTCACTTCTACTACAGGGTATCTCTCGATGGGCGTTTTGGGGGCGTGGTCAGAGAAGCATTCTGTTTACCAGTTTCCGCAGTCCCCAGTTGTACACAGGACTCATTTGAAATAAATATTTTTGTGTTTTTACTTGAAGCGACAATAACGCAAAACATGGAAACGTACACTAACAAAGGAGACACATGTCCCAATGTGTGTATGTGTACGTGTGTGTTTGTGTGTGTCCTGTGACGTCCTGGGAGGAGGATGAGGGTGCTGTAGGCAAAACCACGCGCGGCGCAGCGGCGTCAAAGTCGAATTACTCATACGCCACGTTGGCCAATGTCGCCTGGCACTTTTGGCTTTGTTGCCTGCCTCTGCCGTCTGCTGACACACAATCCGTGCCTCTAGTATTCCGCGTTGACGTTAAAAGCTACAGAGCAATTAATCATTAGCTTTTACAGGATTTATTGCAAATACTTTTATCGGATATATTAAATGAACTCCACTCCACTCCAATCCAATCCACACAAGGCCTTAGGCCTCTCTGAAATTATGGCAGCATTAATCCAGTGGGGTCTATCTGCCGACAACATCTTACTATACTACTACTGTATTCAGTGTTTTTCAGGGGGCTTTCGTTCGGCTTTAAGATTTGCGTCATCGCGGAGTGTCAGTCATGTGGGTCACGGGGCAAAGAATAGGTCTCGAAATAGGGAAATGTGACTGAGAGGAAAACGAAAAAAAACTTTTAGACAATATGCACACACGCGATGGCTTAGCAACAGTTTACATCGTATTGTACTATGTTGTTTACTTTCGGTGACAAAATGAGTTACAGGTTTCATTCATTGCCCTAATGCAGCTTGATAAATTTGAGCGCATTAATTACGCTCACTTGGCGCTGGGAGCACAGAGTGGCGAGTATAGTACTATATATATCCTTCGTCCTAGAATTGGGCTGCTCCTTTGTCAGCCGCCGATTCGCCGAGTGCCTCTGTTGTTCAGTTTCATGTGCCATTAACTGGCTCAAGCCGCCGCGATTGATCTTGGCCGTAAGTTGGGTTTATTGCCTCCTCATCGCCAAAGAAGCTGTTCTTGCTTAAGCACTGAACAAAAAATGGCATACGTTAGTTTATAATTGTTAAATTTATAAGCTTTAAGTAATACAGAAATATTTGTTGAGTTGAAATCGTTTGAAAAGGAGACTTAAAGAATTAATTGTGCAATGTAATTATATCTGGGGCAAAATCCCAAGGGAAACAATTGATGCAATAATAAAAGACCAATTTCCAAGTATGGTTTAATTATAAAAGATTTCCATAATACACATAAATTCTCTTATTTTTTATAAACTTGACTTTCGTTTTTTTTCATAATTATAACGTCATTTTCAAGTTTTAAATTCAAGTAAGGCTTTAATGCAATAATTTATAAACAAGTTTGACATTTATTATTTAAGATAAAATCTCTTTCCAATCCTTAAAATGTGATTTTAAACCAATCGAAGACTTTTGTCTTCACTATTAATCGTGTTTAAAATCTTTATGTTCAGCCTAAAAATGTATTTCAAAACATTGAAATGAATCAATCTATTATAAATGTGTGTTTTCATATTCAAGACTTGTTGTTTTATTTATAGCCCAAACAAGCGGTATTAAAACATAAAATGTTTGTAAATTTTATGTGAAATCTCGTATACTTTTAAATTTGATTCAGGTTAGTTTTATGGCGAATCAGTAAATTTCATAGCGATTCTAAGCATTATTTTTCCGAGTGGTGGACGTAGTTGCTTCTTTAGAGACGCCTGCTTCTTTCGTCCTCAGCACATGCAAATTTATAACAATTTTACGTTCTCACATGCTGAAAGTCGTAAATCGTATTCGGCAAGGTGCGAACTGCTTCTCCATTCTCCATTGCGCGC